GTCGTTCTCACGCTTCAGCAGCCAGGATGCTGCTGATAAGAGCGAGCGGACAGGATCAGCTTTACACCGATACTCTGTCTGTTTGCGCGTCCTGCCTCACCCTTTGTGCAGAGGACTCCGAATGTGTGCACGTCACTGTCTGCCACTTATTCCACAGCATGAATATTGATGAGCGTTTCTGCATGCAGTTGCAGCTGCTGCAGGTTGATGTGCACATAGTGTGCAAAGAGATGAAGAAACATCAACAGAAAATAGGCTGAAAACTTGTTTGGGACTCGATCAAAGATGCTCGTCACTCCCGAGTCCGATGGTTGCCTTTGCAAACAAAAATAATGTGCACATCCCAATACCCAATTTTGTTTTCACTCAATCATTAGGAATTAAAAAGTTGATGTTCCATCTATTAATTGTTTGCTTTTAAATTAGGTCTGCTTTTTATTTTCTTCATCGATTAAAGCGCAGTGGTTCCGCCCTCGCTCCAGACTCCTTGTTTTAAGACGTTGTGCTTGATGACGGGTGGATTTTTCACTGTTCTCTGGCAGCTTATAAATGAAATGACTAACAGATTAATATAGAAATCCTATAGGTCTTAAGAATTAAGTAATTTTTAGACATGAAATTCAGAGTTTATTTTTGTTTGCATGTGGAGACAGATCTTCATCTTTGGTAAAAGTAAAAGCCGACTATTTAAGATGTCCTGGTGATTTTATATGTTTTTACTGCCTCACGTTTCTTTTGCCTCCGAGAAATGTATTCAAGCATTGTCTCAGGGTGAGCATTTGATATTCCCGTGCATGCTGCTGCATGAAGATGCAGTTCATATGATTACATTCAATTCCACACTTCAGCCTCGTGTGTTACAAAAACAAGGTACAAGAGAAAAGCCGGTAAAAGTTGGGACCATTAAACCTCATCAGGCCAAACAAGACAAGAGTTGAATTATCTTTATAACTTGTGTAATTAATCTTATGTCTCTTTTGTGTTGTATTTTGTGTTCTGGGTTTGTATTTGTGAATCCAGGTGGGTTTAGCCGCAGACATTTCGAGGGAGACAGATCCTTTGCTGTTTGAACCGTCCAGTGGTGAGTCTTTCTTTCAGAGTGCTGCTTTTAGTTCATACTGAAGCTTTGTAAGAAAGCTGGTACGCCCTGATATGATAGCAAGCGTATGCTTCCTACTTCATTCTTTTCAGTGCTCTCAAGGTTGTCCCCTTAAAGCGTCATGTGACGAGATGATCAATTTCTACCTAACATAACGTAAAAGGGAATAAAGGACCTAACTCAGCGTTTCTGTCGATATTGAGTCAGGGCTGGAGTTTATCGTCAGAGTGCAGTTTTATCATTTGTTGCTAATTATTTCGAGGAACTGTTGACGATGTGTTGCAGGCAGCTAAATTTCTGAAGCCAAATATAAGCCGTACTTACAAAAAAAATAAAAACAGTTGTGCAGATTCAGGAAACACTTGAAGGTATATTTTCATTTTACTTTTTTTCTATTGTGTCAGGTGAGTACTCTGGTCTCCAAAAAGTTCAAATATTATGCCTCAGTTTAAAACGGTCTTTTTAGCTCCTTCTACTATTGTGTTAGAATATCAAAATAAAGTTGGCAGCTGGTGTTAACCTTCTCACACTGAAGGGAGTAGTTAGTTGTATCCAAGGGCAGAGTCATCAATAATGATTGCATTTAAATTAAATCAGTAGTTGCATTGTTATATTTAAGTCCGTATCTTTCCTCTGCCTGAAGTATTGAAATTATAGTGCTGCCTTTTTTTTTTGTGCTGCTAAAAATATAAGACAGAGACTGAGATGTCTTACTAAACACTTTGTATAGTCAAATGGCTTAAAATCAAAATATCTACATCCTGAAAATATTTTACTTTTGATTGGTTTAGGATGTAAATTTTCCTTGGTCAAGTTGAGTCTTTGCAGTTAGCACAAAGTGAAGCATTAAAAGTAAAGATGAACACACAAATACATGCGTTCGGTATCTCTGTATAGTTGTGTGTGTTTGCGAACTTAAATTAACACGTGTCCTGACCTTCCTCCTCTTGCGGTGGATGTCTCCGATGCTGTTGGCCAGTGAGTTTGGTCCCAGCAGCGTGGACGTGCTCTGAGGCCAGTCCACCGCCACCAGAGTGTGCTCGCCCATCAGCACCTTGCGCACGTTCTCTGCGCCCGTAACCCGAATCACAGGACGGCCTAGCAGGTGGGTCTTGAACACGTTGCCGTACTTCTGTCTCCGTGATGCATGAAAGCTCGAGCCCTGGACAAAGGAAAAGACGGTAAGCACAGAGATCAATCACAGATCTAACTTGTAATGCTGAAGACACAACTCACTTTTAAGATATTTTTTACAGTAGAATGAGTGACAGTTCTTTAGTCGTGCTGGAGGATTAATTATATGAGGCAGTATGTCAAAAATCCATATTCAAGAAACTAGTTTTGCTCATAGAAAAATAAACCTGGTGCTTTTCCATTCTTCCTCCTTCAACATCTATAAGAAAGTCGAAATTCTATTAAGAAAGGAATAAGAGAAAGATGGGTAGTTTTAGAGAACACTGTTGGGACTGAATGCTGGAGTTCCCCTTTGAGAGAAGCAGGTGTGAGGAGACGGTAACAGAAGGAATTCCCCAAACACTCCTGACCCTGTTTCACGGAAATCAGAGGAACCTTTTAAAATCCTGCTAATGGAGATCGCCCCCATCTCCACTTCTAAATCTATATCTTTCTTAATATCTGCACTCAAAGAAATCTTTTATATTGTCAGCAGTTTAAGGGTTAGTGTATTCTTAACATGAAATTCCTTAAAATTTAGTGATTCTAGTCATCATCATCACTGTCACGGAAACATTGTGAGACGAGGTTTTAATCATGCAGAAATCATTTTAAAAACTGATGAAATATTACAATAGACAGCCAGCAGTTGCTGTCCTCAAACAGAAGATGGTCAGATCCAAAAAGGCTCCTCAAAACAGTGATACCTCACCGAACTGATGGGGCCTACTCTGAAAAACGCTCTCCTTGCCCTCGACCACCGTTAACAAAACATGCTAGTTCTTCATGCTTTTTGCACTTTCTAATAATTTAAAACAGTCTTTAGGATCCAACCTTCACCCCAGCTTTTGATCTTCATCTCTAAAAGGTTTCAGTAAGTACTTTCTACTCTCTCTGTGGCTCGGGGCCCAAACAGACTGGTGAGTTCTCCACATGCTAAAAGTTACTGAGGTTTCCATCATCTCAGCTCTCAGAGAAAAAAGTAAACTTAAACCAACTGAAAGCAGAAGACTGCAGATGTTTAAGGAGCCTGTATACATCAGGTTAATGCAATGAAAACTGATTCAAGTTGCCTTTAGGGCACAGGCAGAGATCAGTTTTAACATCGGCCCACGAGCGGTGAGGTTAAAGGTTCTCAAAACATTTGCAGTTCAGGCTTAAAATACAGTAAATGAAATTTCTCATCCTGATGAAGAAGACTGACAGGAGACTGCTCGAGGATATAAGAAGTTTCAGCCTCAGACTGCTCATTTTTGGCCACTGCCACTTCAAATCTTTTTCTCCTCATTCATCAACTGAGGTGGAGCTCCAAGTTGTCAGGCCTGGGGAACCCTAGCCCTAAGATGAATGGACTATGCCGGCAACCTCTGATGAATGGTCATAGGAATCTACATATTAACAATCATGCAACTGAGCTCATGGCTCATTGTTAGGCAATGTTGCTAGTGTCAGTCATGTTTATAAGGTTAGGGAAACCCGCAGTCACTTGGAAAACTGACGAAATGTTTCGCCAGTTGAACACGTCCAGATGAACGGGATCAGTTTACCTGGATTATTGAGGAGGTCCAAACGTCCAAGATGTAGTTTAACATGTAGCACATTAAACTACGTCTTTCTTCACAGGGTTGTCACTATTTAAATCACAGAGGGGATTCCTCCTTCTCAGATTGTTTTATTTGAAGGCAATCAGAGAAAGTGAATTTTCCCTTTTTCTATAAGAAGCATAGTGCTTGCTAGAATTACAGGTAGAGCTTCCGGTTTAACTCGAAAATAGTTCTTAGAAAAAGTGCAAAATAATTTTTTTAGTGACAGGTGTGTGATTTCTTTAAAAAAAAAAAGAGAGATTAAGTGCATGTTTTATTCCTATAAGCATCTAGATAAGCGGTGTTACACCCCATACCTGCAAAACTGGGCAGTTAACACCAAAACAATGTAGGTGCATGAGCAATACTACGAGTCACGGAGAAAAATTAGAATTTCTTGCTGGAGAATAAAAAAATAAACATTTGTCCCTGTTTTATGTTTTGACCTATCACGAGGAGCCACATCGCCACATTTCAGGGCCCCTGTCCCACAGTTTGGACAACCCAAGTTGCAAGCACAACCCCCAGAGGACCAAAGCTGGAGTCAGTTAGCGAGCTGACCTGAGTTCAGCTTTGACGTTGACCTCTAAACGGTCTGGGTCAGAGCAGAGTGAGAGGGAGCCGACCCCAGAACTGTAAATGGGCTGTTTGAGTGAAAAGAATATATAGCCGCCTGAGAGGCTGCTTACTGTGTTACACACACAGACACACACACACACGTACACGGGACATACACACTGAGTCTAACAAGGCATTATTCAAATGCAAGTATTAACACACATGTGCATATAGACTTAAAAACACACTCTCACTCAAGATTACTAAAATAAAACTATCTTTAAAAACTCAGAAACATGGAAAGCAAACAAACATGCGGAGGCCCAACTGCAAATTGCCGTGACAACACTAACTGGTTTGACCCCGGTTTACTCAAGGGAAAAGAGATATTTATGACTGTGAGGCACACAGACACACACACACAAATATATATGTACGCATATATATTTGTGTGTGTGTAAACATGAAGGCAAAAGGACAGCCTGTAAGGCAGTTTATTCACACATCAACACAAAACAGACAAGGAGAGCATTTTTATTGTGATTTTTGTTTAAAAAAAATCAGAACAACTTCAAACCTTCCTGACACGAGCCAACATTAAGATCAGCTGTAACCCCCAACACTACAAAACAGTCGGCGTGTGTATGAGTGCAGTTATAGGCCGCATGTTTGTGTTTGAATGCGGAGCTCAGAAACTAATTTTAGCAAGTAGTTTGTTTCCTGGTCGAGGGCACACCTCTGGCAGCGGCGGCGGTGCTTTTTGTTTGTGTGCGAGGGCTCAAAATGTGTCCGCTCACTGATTCCGGTCAGCGGTGTGATTACTGGCTCACAGCCCTACAGTGAAGCCTCGATAGATTTACTAAACTCCCAATCAAAAACACCCCGCTTGGCCAAGAGGTTTCAAAGCTGAGGAGGAGCTTATGGTCTAAATTAGGAGTGACTTTAAAAAGTGTGTGTGTCTCTGGTTGGGTGTAAATAAGTGTTTTACATTCGGTGCATAGATGTTTGTAAAGGGGAACTCAGTGGAATTAGTAGTGCATGTTTATAAAGTCACACCTTTTAAGAGAATAAATTACCAGAGGCTGAGATATTCCTGCTTTTAGTCCTTATGAAAGGTTCAGCTCCAAACACACTGGTACATGTTAAAGACATATCTAATTATCAGAGACATATTGCTCACTTGTGTTTGAGCAGCGTGCGGGGGACAACCATGGGAATAGATAAAGACTTTGAAGGGGGCTAAAAGAGGCAATGTAATAAATGCAATCTCAAAACTTTATATGGTCTTTCACGTATTTAGAAGAATGAGCCGGATAAAACTGAACCCCTCCAAAATTACCATCAACTAATAAGAGGGATATCGGTTTTTAATTAGCTGGTTCTTTTGTATTACCTCTCACAACTAGCAAAAAACTGGTGGACTCCACCTTCAACCACGAGTGAAATATATCTTGAAGGCGGAGACACCAAATGATATTAAACAGCTTGAAGCGAAGGTGGGTAAAATAACCACTGGTGACATGAAGTGGGTCAATTGATGGAATAGAATTCAAGTGAAGTATGCCGTCGATAGCCATGTGGCAGGGTTTGTAAAAATATTAGAGGGTTACCTAGGCAACCAGAAGGCTACCAACCATCAGCACCAAAGTGATGCACTTTGTGTATGGAGCCCCTTTGAAAAAAGCAGCTACTGTCAGCTGCTCTGTTATGCTGCTCTATTCCATAGTGTGCTGTATTCAGCATGCTTTTGCCAGTACTCCTTGGATTTACATCTTTGCAGGAAAACCCACGACCCTAAACGAACACAGCAGACACGCAGGTGAAGCTCCTATTCCTAAAGACTGGTAACAGACCAGTTTCGATCCCAGTTTCCACCCACGATGAAGTTGCTGCAGTAAAACTGAGTCATTTTTGCAGAAACTAACAGCCATGTCATTTTGATTCCTACAGCTCAGCACGGTGTTAGTTCAGGCAGGCCAAGAAGCTAAGCTGAGCCTTTTACACGATGTCCTTGTACACATCCAGGCGTGCTATGTATCAATGCTCCTTCTGCAAGCCACATTTCAACCCACCTCCACCCCCAGCACCTCCTTTTCATACCATCTCTTACATCTCTGTTGTGTAATTGGTTCCTGCTGCTGCTTTCCATTACCATATCACCAAATATAAGCTGGAAATAAGAGTTGTAATTAAATAATTTTTTGACATCAGAAAGACAAACAAGACTCAAACGGTTTCTGTGGCAGAGGATAAAGATGCGACGCAAAGCACCTGCTGAACAGCAACCAATGACGATCAAGAGGTGATTGAAGCTTCCTTCTTCCTTCATGACTGCTTATTAATATCAGTCATTCATTTCTTTCTCTCGTCATCGCAACGTAGCTGACATGCTAAGGTTTCTCTGTGTGAAGTCGACCTAAATTGAGCACAGATGCTTTTGCCCTCTCTGTACGTCTGGCTGCTGTTTTCGTGCTGCTTTGAAAACTCTGATTGCCAGACTGCTTTTATAGATGAAAAATTCTGTTAATTAGCATTCAAGCTCCTCACGCCCCACTGTCCCGCCCTGCCATGTTTCAGAGTGTTCACTCGAGCTCGAGGTGCTGGCGTTATTTTATTCACACTGGGTTTTATCCTGCAAAGCTGTCCGACAGCTGCCTGATTCCTGGTCGATGTCGTCCACCTGATAGTCGGCTTAAAACTGTAGAAACCATCCAGTTTCAGTGTAGCTGGGACTGAGTTGTCTTTAAAGAGTCTATTTTTGAAGCCGCATCCATTCATTCATTCATGCACCTTTGCAAATTTTGGGGGTTTCTTTTTCTCTCTGTCGATGTGTCTGGGTACAAACTGT